CCACAACGGGATTACGTTTCACCCGGACCTTCAGTCTATGCACCTTACTGCCTGGAGGCAACTCCCACAGTAGCAGATGTCCTTGGTCATGCATGACACTGTTCCACAACCCACCCGTATTCTTGTAAGTGGAAAACTTTCTCGACATTTGCCACTACACATGGCTTACCAACGATACCTACCTCACTGGATGCAGTACTGCAATTCCTTCTGCTTCTTTTCCGACGTGGCCAGTCCCACTCTACCTTCAGGGTGTACATGGCTGCAATAGTGGCTCACCAGCCATCTTCTTCAGAGGCAGCAAGTTTTTTTCAACATCCAACACGCAACCATTTTCTGCATGGGTTGAAAAATTTGCGCCCCACCTTACAAGGTGCCCACTCCTCAATGGTCCCTCCAGTTGGTCCTTAATAAACTCCCTTTGAACCTCTGGCCTCTGCTATCACTGAAAACTGTGTTCCTTCTCGCTGTAACATCGGCAAGGCGGGCCAGTGAACTTGCCGCCCTGCGAGTTGACGCACCCTTCCTCCAATTTCACCCAGACAAGCTGACCCTGTTCCCCGACCTTTCTTTCCTTCCTAAGGTGGCCTCATGTTTTCACCTGAATCAGCCGATACGAGTATTCCCGACATTCTTTCTGTCCCCCACCTCTAGTCTGGAGCGGGCTCTCCACTCTCTAGACATTAAGAGAGCCCTTGTGTATTATGTCTCTTGCTCTTATGCCTTCCGTTCATCCCAGTGTTTGTTTGTCTCATTCCATGGAGAGTCAAGGGGATCTCCAGTCACTCCACAGACAATTCCTTGGTGGAGAGTCTCCACAATCTGCCTGGCTTATGAATTAGCCAAGACTCCTCTACCAAATACTGTATGAGCTCATTCCACCAGGGATGTGCCTTCCTCTACGGCCTTCCTCAAAGGAGTGGACTTGACAGACATCTGTAAAGCCGCCACGTGGGCCACGCCATCCACATTTGCAGCTCACTATCACTTGGACATCCAAGCTAAAGCCGAGGCTGCTGTCGGCCGTTATGTACTGGCATCTGTTCTGTCGTGACGTCCCTCCACCTGGTAGGTAAGCTTGCTAAACACCCATTAGTGTGCATTCACAGAGACCACGAAGAAGAAAAAATGGTTACTTACCTATAACTTTGGTTCTTCAAGTGATCATCTGTGAATTCACACTTCCCGCCCGTCCTCCCTGCTGGCCGTCACGTGTGCCTCTCGGCATGCTGCGCAGCGGCGGACAGTTCTAGGGAACTGAGGCACTCGGTGCTGGGGCAGAGTTATAGGCAGCGTAGGGCAGATCCCGGCACCATGTGCCTGAGCTGTAGAAGGTTCCACAATCACTCTGCGCAGGCACAAGTTAACCCATTAGTGTGAATTCACAGATGACCACTCAAAGAGCCAAAGTTACAGGTAAGTAACCATTTTTTTCCTGGGTATAATCCAAGGGTAAAAATTTGGCCTCAGGCCCACTAAAGTGGTCTGCCCTGGAACAGAATATGGATTTTGCTCTTAAAAATGGAAGAACAGCCTGGACCCTAAACCTGCCTACCAAAAAGTAAATTGCATTGATAATTTATTTATTTATTTATTTATTTTTCCTGGGTATAATCCAAGGGTAAAAATTTGGCCTCAGGCCCACTAAAGTGGTCTGCCCTGGAACAGAATATCGATTTTGCTCTTAAAAATGGAAGAACAGCCTGGACCCTAAACCTGCCTACCAAAAAGTAAATTGCATTGATAATTTATTTATTTATTTATTTATTTTATTTATATCCCGCCTATCTAGTCGCAAAGGACTACTCTAGGCGGCTTACAACAGGGAAGAATACAATAAAAATAGAACAACAAATTAGAAAACAGATAAAAGTAAAAAACAATAAAAGATAAGAAAATCAGAAGTAATCTGGTGAGAAGGCCTGCCGAAACATCCAGGTCTTTAGTAGATTCTTAAAAGTGCCCAGCGAGGGAGCTCCGCGAATACCAGGAGGTAAATTATTCCACAGGCGAGGAGCGACCGCCGAGAAGGCCCTATTTCTTGTTTTCTCTTT